ATCATCATCAACCGGTTCATCCGTGGGCTCATCATTGTCGTCCGTGGGCTCATCATCGTCGTCCGTGGGCTCATCGTCATCGTCAGTGGGCTCATCGTCATCGTTAGTGGGCTCATCGTCGTCGTTCGTGGGCTCATCATCATCGCCCTTTGAGCCATCGTCGTCGTCGTCGGGTGCATCCCACGAGCCATCGTCGCTGGGCTCGTCGATAACGGTTGTCACGAGAGGCGCCGACTCAGTGTCCAATGGCCCGTCAAGGTTGATGGGGTAGCCCAAGTGCGTCGGGCCCTTGGTGTGCGTTGCCGCACGGAGCATACGTGACGGCTCGTCCTTGGCCGACGAGGCCGCGACGAGGATAGCGCCCACGAACCACAGCAATCCCTTGACCATACCGAGCGATTTCAAAAATGATTTCTGCTGCGGTGACATACGACGTCGCGCTGGATCTGGCGGGTTCGATTCCGCCGCGGTCCTAATTGACAAGCATGTGTGTCACTTTGCGCCATATCCCACAAGTGCATGCAAATTAATTAGCATTGACTATGGGTACTATTCTATCAGATTTATTGTATTGCGATTGCATATATGATCTAAAACTGACAGCGCAGATCCAATCACCCTGTCTAAGCGTGACGACGCGCTCAACGCGATTTTTAATCCATGCGGTTTATTTCACCTACAAAGGTCAAGTTTGTAAAAATAAAATACGGTGGACGCCTCTTGGGCAGCCAGCGAATGGCCATGTGGTCTTGCTGCACGCTCTGCCGCTTCACATGTGCTCCAAGGCGCCGGCTCGCGACGTCGTGACCAGACATCATACTAGCAGTGTGGCATAGCAACCAGAGACTTGGACAGCTCTCGGGGTCCAGTTGGTGGTTCGACCACATCTGCCCGTGCGCTGCTCAGAAAAAAAGTGTTTTATGAAATACGGCCACGTCAACGACATCAAATCGAACCCAACGAATCCTGCCTGCGTCGCAAAAGAGTGACCGCGTCGTGTGAATGGCTTCAAAGATGCGAGCAGGCGGCTTCATTCGGCCCTTGCATTTGCACTTCGTCACTTTGCCTTTTCGTACTTGAAATTGAGTGCAAGACCCGTCATCATTCATTCTTCAACGTACTTTCATGGACCACAAACAGAAGAGGGCGAGGGGCAGTCGGTGGATACGTGGCAAGGCGAGGTGCAACCTCGCCGTGTCGTGGGGTTGCGACAGCCCACGTTCGAGATACAATCCATTAGAAGCTTTTGCTCGTGGGTTTGCATGCGGATGTATCTTCCTCTTTGCCTTGACGCCACTGGTAGCATACCTCGCAAGCTTGTGGTGCGACGGGGACGGCGATCATGCGGGGCACGATGGAGCGCGCACACCACATATCGTGAAGAATCCGCCTGCACCAATTGAAGGTCTTGGAGCTGCTGGTTTTGTTGCACCTTAACACATCAGAAAGCACCTCGTCGTGCCTGTGATCTAATGAGGCAGTACGAAATGGAAACACAGTGCCAAGATACCGGCAATACATTCTCGTGACGTCCAGTCTTGGCAACTTGACGCAAAACTCATTAAACTGTGCCAAGTGTTCAAGTACATTTTCACTTGCACTTTGCACTTTGCACTTTGCTCCTTGTTGATAGGTCGAGCGTGGCCAGCTACTATATCTCTCGCCTGTTTCATGCATCAAGCAAGTGTACTCGTCGGTCTCTGCCTTTGGTTGAGTACAATCACACGCAAGACGATCGACGCAACTTTTGAGCTCCAAGCGCGTCGCAGCCTCTGCACATCTTGCACTCGCCAACGCCAAAGGGATCGTCCCGACTTGAGAATTATTGGTGCGCACGCGGCGATATCGCGCTTCGGTCGACATGCGCACACTCCACGCCCGAACAGACATTTCACAATCCAATACCAGGTATGTTGTTTTGTGCACTGAGGCTCCTGGGTTGCTGGATGGCTCCATCTCTTGCGTGTGTTCAGCATGGTAGCAATTCCGAGGGGCCAAGCCAAGCAGATCTTCTTGCTCACGGTAGCAGCTTGTTCATTATGGTGGGCGCAAGGCGAACCATTGGTTGTCTCGTCGACGCAACTCCAGCTCATCGCACAAAGCTCTGCCAGTGTTCTTGGAACCTCATCAGCAACCAAGCAAGCGAGCTCATCCTGTTGGACTCCAGAGACGTCTCAAGGCTGTCCTAGAACTCTTCATGGTGCAACAGAGAAGGAGATGACTTTGGAAACTCACAATGTATGCAACAACAGATTTGCTGTCGCCAGCAGCCAAGCGCCCAGTATGCAGGCACTCGATGGGTTCACCGCACGAGCTCTTGCCATTCACTTTTGGATTTCTTCCCTTGCCATGCGTCTCGGCCTTCTTCTACCTATCGTTGCAGCGGCTTCGGCATGTACGTCGGTCTCCGTCGAAGGCGACGCTACGTACTGCATCTTGGGATCGGTTTGCGTTGGCGCTGGCATCGCGCCCTTGGGCATCGCGTGCCCGCGCAAGGGAGCTGTGGCGTCGGCAGACTGCAACTCCAACGCACCGAGCTTTCTTACTGGCTCAACGTGCGTTCTCTCCCATGACGCCGTGTGCCAAAAGCTAGCCACAGGTGCCTGGGGATGCGCTCTCTCCTCGTCGCATCCTACGGACGAGCCATGCCCGACTGAGCGCCCTCGCCCGACTGATGCACCGTGCCCCACCGAGCGCCCTCGCCCGACCGATGCGCCTTGTCCGACTGAGCGACCCCACCTGTCGTGTACATTGGTATCGGTGCAAGGCGATGCGACGTACTGCATCAATGGCCCGGTCTGCAGTGGCGCAGGCCTTTCGCCCGACGGCGTCAGCTGCCCGGATGCGGGCACCGTGGCTTCGGGCGACTGCCACCCACACTTGGGTAGCTACGTTGCTGCCAGCAACAGCTGCGTCCTCTCAAAATCGGCCACGTGCCAAAAGACCGCCACCGGCGCCTGGGGCTGCGTTCCATCCACGTAGTAGGTGGTTAAAAATGCACTTTTCCTTGACTCCAATCCCATGCACGCGCATTCTTTGCAACTGCGAATCGTCAAAGACTCGCGTCACCCGTCGCTGGGCTGCTGAGAAGCATGGTGTCGGCTTGTCCAAGGTTGCGTTCTCGTCGAGCATTGATCATGGGAACCC